AGCATCAGTTTTATTGTTTGCATATTTCATGATGTCACTGTACCATAGTTTAACTCCTCCCTGCTGTTAGAATTAAGTTTATAGCACTTTTTCTAGTTCTACAGAATTAAAAACAACCTGGCATTGAACTTCTTTGTGCCCACAACCCTTTTTTTTGGAGCGAAGGTGACTTCCTTTGGGCAGGTTCCTAAGAAAGGGACAACTGGGTCACAGAGAATGAACAGGTGGAGTCTTGGAGTATGTTATCAAAGAGGTTGTGTGGTCATGTGATGCCAGCTCCCCAGTGAACCCTTGTTGGGTTCTCTCTGCTCCATCAGCAGAGTTCCTCTGCAGACAGATGGGGACTGGTCTGTCTGCACAAAAGCTACTGATGGGGCGGTTCTGCCAGCCCTCATAAGAAGACACAGTCACATCCATTCACTACTGACCTCAAAATTTCTCCACCTACACTCTAACCCCACCCCACCCCCAACATGTGTTTTTGCAGTTAGACATTTTTGTTTCTCTCACTCTCTCTTAATTATGACTTAACTCCTAAGACTTGGACAAACACTTCAAGTATCATAAGGGGCTTGCTGGCTGTTGGGGCAGCCTGTGCCTCATTGTGGTATTTTATTCACCCTTCAGCTGGAGGACTCCATCCTCCTTACCAGAGGCATTGCCATGGCAACCTCTCTCCTTTGGGCAATAAGTATGGGCGGCAAAGTCTTACATGCTTAATATGTTTGATATTTTACCTTTCAAAAAAATTCTTCGGGGAAATTCAAGTTGGCCTGTTGAACAAAATAAATAAGCTTTTTATTGTCAACAAGGGCTAAGGCGGCAGCTTTTGATAACAGGGGAAGCCTGGACTGGTCAAAAACCCAAAACCTGAAACCAGAGTGAGCAGGTCCACTCGAGACAAGAAAGGAATGGGAACCTCTCAGTGCTGATGGAGACTGGCTTGGATGCCAGATGCAGCTGGGGAAGCTCTAGTGATCTCTGGGGTGACATGAGCTGGGCCCAGCCCAACCTCAGTAATATTTGGGTAGCTTTTGGCTGCCACTGCTGGAGGGAACAGATATTTCTCCTATAGACAGCGCACTTTAGGGGTCTTGGGGCTTCCTCTGCCCTTCTGGTGGCCTTACCACAGTCCTCTTTAGCCTGGAAGCCCTTAAGAGTGCACAGTTATCACAGAGCACCCTGAGAGCTTTGCAGAGGCTAAATGTGTCAGCTCAGGGCGGATGAGGGAGCCTGATGTCTGCCCCATCCCCACCGTCTGGCTGTGCATTCTTTGCAACAGACGTGCTCTTATTCAGCAGTTAAAATTTGAGAATTAAAAACTGAAATTTTGTAATAAATTGTTTTCAGTATTATGTTTCTTGGTTTCATTGGCAAACATTTTTTTTTACTTTAGGGTGGGCATGGTGGTTCATGCCTGTAATCCTAGTACTCTGGGAGGCCAAGGAGGGAGGATTGCTTGAGCTCAGTAGTTGGATACCAGCCTGAGCAAGAGTGAGACCTGGTCTTTACTAAAAACAGAAAAATTAGCCAGGGGTGGTGGTGAGAGCCTGTAGTCCCGGCTACTCGGGAGGCTGAGGCAGGAGGATTGCTTGAGCCCAGGAGTTTGAGGTTGCAGTGAGCTATGATGACACCACTGTACTCTAGCCAGGGTGACAGAGTGAGACCCTGTCTCAAATATATATACATATATATATTTCTTTAGAGTAGATTTACATGGGTTCCTTTCTTTATTTCTTTATTTTCTTCCTTCTCTACCTTCTTCTCTCCTTCCATTCTATATATATATATATGAATTTATTTTGCCCATTTAATGAGATTCCCTCTGGCATAGTGGAAAAAGAGGTGTGAAGCCAGACAAATACTGGTTGGAACCACGCTTTCCTGTTTATTAGCTATGTAGCCTTGGCATAGCTCACCTGGCTTGCTCAGGGCCAAGCGGTTTTCTGGAACACAAAACTTTCAGTGCTAAACGCAGGACAGTCCTGGACGAACTGGGGTGGTTGGTCACCTTACTTGGGCAAGATACTTAGCCTCTTTGATGCTTTGTTTCTTCAGTTGTGAAACAGGGATAATAATACCTGCCTCAGGGAACTCACCTTGAGGTTTGGAGACAATGCACGGAAAGTGCCTAAACTGTGTCTGGGACCTTGTAGATTCTCAATAGATGACAATGATATTAGTAGTAACATTAACATTAATAATTATCTGTATTTTTTAAAGGCTCAGAGTGATTTTTTATCATCATCCATTTCTGTCATCAATGCTTTTCTCTTAATTTCTAATGTCTGTTCAAAGGAGGGAATGTTTATTTTGTTTTCTTCATTTTTGTGTCAGCCTGGGCACTATGGCTTGAATGTTTGTCCCCTCCAAAAGTTTTGTTGAAAATTAATCCCCAATGTGGCAGTAATAAAAGGCAGGGCCTTGAAGAGATGACTGAGTCATGAGGGCTCTACCATTGTGAATGGCTTAATCCATTCATGGATTAATGGATTAGTGGGTTAATGGATTAATAGGTTATCACAGGAGTGGGACTGGTGGCTTTATAAGAAGAGGAAGAGAGACCTGAGCCAGCACACTCTGTTCCCTGACCATGTGACACCCTGCACTGCCTTGGGACTCTGCAGAGTCCCCACCAGCAGGAAGGCCCTCACCAGATCAGCCCCTTGATCTTGGACTTCCCCACCTCCAGAACTGTAAAGAATAAATTTTCTCTCTTTATAAATTAAGCAGTCTCAGGTATTCTGTTATAGGCAACAGAAAAAAGACTAAACACTGGGTTTCTGAAGCTTTGCTATGTCCAATTTAAAAAAAGCTGCTAATTTTTTTCTGATGTCTAATGTCTCCAACTAGAGTCTAATGGTAATACACCAATAGAAATTGAGATGGTCTTTTAGAAACCTTGAGAAACTCACGGATGTACCCAAAGCCTTCTTCTTTAGATATAAGATATTCTGTGCATAGCTCATACTGAGCCCCTTCTTTATCAGATGCAGGTCTCATGGGTTGCAGGTGATGAATGTCTGGAGACTGAGGCTCTGCTCTGGATCTTTCCCCACACAGGTGGGTCTGTGTGGCCCAGATCACCTGCCAACATTAGGCTACCCATGCTGAAGCAGATCCATCCTCACTCTTTCAGACTGGCCATTCTGGCCAGGAAAGGGAGTTGGGAACTGGGAAGGCCACTGCATGTGAAGGTCTGTGTGGCCTTGTGGAACAAGCAAGAGGCTAATCTGGGTGTAGTTACTCCTGGCTCCCCTGAACACGTCTTTCTTCTTTCTGTTTTTTTGTCCACAACAGGGGTGTGGAGCTCTTCGTTCCCATCTTTAGAGGTGAGTAGAGGTGATCAAATGGAGAAATGATTGACAAAGGGTCTCCAAAGAGGAAGAAAATCTAAAACAACATAGTGTGAGGTCAGTTTCTGGGCTTATGAGCATTTTATTTTATTGGTTCAGCATAAACAGAGAGCTCTACTCAGCCATGACTTAATGGCTTCCTCTTTCCAAGCTGCCTGAGATGGTCAGGTCTCCAGGTAATGGGTCATACCTGCCCTTGTGGACTTCATGTCTGGGTGTTATTTTCTATTTTATGATTTCCTCCTCAGTTTTTAGTTCTATTTTTTCCCTAAGTATAAAATAAAGATATTCTCATTGAAGAAAAATTGGAAAATACCATAAAGTATAAATAAAAAGGAGAGTTTTCATTATATCTCCAACCAGAAACAACCACTTTAAAAAAAGTTGGAATATATTCCTTCCCAGGGCATTTTTCAATGCACTGTTTAGTGGAGTTAGTATTAGAAAAAAATCTTAATAATTTTAAGGATTGTATAATAGTTTATTTATATGTAAAAACCATTATAAATCTTCCTCTGGTTGGATGTCTAGGTTGATTCAGTTATGTTATTTTAAATAATTGATAAATAACTTTGGGCATATGTATTTATGATTATTTCCTTAGAAATTTGAAGGGGAATTGTTTGATTAAAGGACAAATACTTTTAGCCTTCTTTCATATTAGATACAACATTATCTTATATTCCCCTAAAAGTTTAAGTTAAAAGACTGGACAGAATATAATGTTTTTTTATGGAAAAAACTTGTATGTTCCTTGGTCTACAAGTAGGACCCAATCCTCTCACCCCCATAAGTTTCTTTAAGGAAGATGTCTACAATTTTGTTTAGCAAACCTCTGTAGCAGGGATGCCTAAGAGATTTCATCTTAGTTGGTCATTACGAAGCAGCTATCTTTAGTATTGAGTATTGTGGGAGGTGTATACTAAAACCCATCACTGATAGACACTTTTTTTTTGGTTATCTCAATTAAATACTCTTGTTCCAAAATGCAATTTGATTGCATTTAAAGAATTTTAGTGACATTTTGTCTCCGCATATGGTATCTTACATTTAATACTAAACCACAAGGGAACTTTCTGCTTATTTTTTCAAGTCTTAGCACTTCACATGATCATTCCACATTTGTTTGGGCTTTTTGGAAGAGAATACTCCCTTTCCTTTCTAACTATGGATTGGGAGGTATGAAAAATGAGCCTGGCTTCAGCAGGCAGGAATGGAACAGTTCAAAAGCAGTTCCGAGGCATATGCAAATGCTTAAGAATAGAAAAATCAAAGAAATTATGGTCCCTAGTGAGGATCTGGAAATCTAACTGGGTATGTGAGTGTGTGTGTGTGTGCCTGTGTGTGAGTCTGTGTGCGTTTGTGTGGGTGTGATCCTTGATGTGTGTCTGGGAGCTCTGGGCAACTCAGACTGGTCATGGGTTGGAGATTAGTGGGGCCAGAGCAAAGTTTTTGGAAGATTAAAGATAAAGTATGTAAAGCACTAAGCACAGTACCGATTATCATGAGGACTCAATAAAGAAATGAAATAATGAAAACACGTTAGTGAATCACTGCAGTTGATCCTGTGAGGTCACAATTCGTTGGCAATGGAGTCAGGACCAGAAATCCAGGTTCTGAATCCAAGTTCAGTGCTCTCTTTGGTGGAATGTATCAACTCTGAGATAGGAGGCATTTTGGCAAAACTTGACCATTTGACCATTGCACTGGTCAATCCTGTATATATAATGTCTTGTGAAGGCAGGTGGGGGCTAGACACTGCCCATTAAAAAGGTAAAAGAATTGGGCATCCCACAGAAAGATTGATTAAACCCTTTGTTTTTGGACTTTAAGGTAGACAACAGTGAAACACTCAGTAGTCAGCTACTGGGAACTACAGGGATTTTTGTGGGTAACAGTGGTGAGTCATGTTTTGAGCATGTACTCATGGCTTGATTCATCCATTTCTGTCTTTGCACAGGAAGTCTTCAAAATGTCCCTGAATCTATATTTGAATAGCTCAAAATTATATAACAGTTTTCTGTTAACCACTTTGTAATCTTACTTGTTTAAAATTGAATGCAAAATGGTTCTTTTTGGGGATTTTTTTAGGTTTCAATTATCAAGTTTTTTTTTTGAGAACCAGAATAATCTCTCAAATCCTCCCTTTCTGTGTTGCGTACTCTTTGGCAACTGGTCAGAGAGGCTCTGACGTTATATGCCACTGAAACTTTTCTTAGAGTTCAGGTTCAACCAAAGAAAAGACGAGGCAATGAAATGAATTTGCCTGATTTTTAATGACTCTGGGTCCTTAGAATACAGTCTTTGTGGCATATGACAAATCTCCATGTTTTGACTGGGAGACTCAGGCTTCCCCAAGATTGATACCGTTGCTCTGGCTATGGGGAGAAGTTTAGGGATGGGTACATGACACATATAGTCTTGTGAATTTTATCAGAATAGTTTTCTATCCAGATATCAAGACAGAGATGCCTCCTTTTGGGTAGGTTCCCTACCTGAAACATGGCTTTATGCTTGGAAACATGAGAATCCATCACTGCTACCCTGTGGAACAATCTTTTTTTGGGGAGCTCAGATGGAAGAAGCAATTGTGGAACAATGTTTCTAAGAAACAAACCAATAGAGAGGAAAGCAGAACTGAGATATGGACAGAGAAAGGTAGAGCCTTAAACATATCCCTTGATCCGGCTGTACCTGAAGCCACCCCTGGCCTTACATATCCCAGTTACATAAGCCAGATGTGAAAGTTGGGTGTCTGGCACTTAAGTAGATCCTTGACTTGCATCATCCCATTATGTTTATTATTTCTATTTTATAGATAAGAAAATAAGAAAGATTAAGAACTTTGTTCAAGTTAACATAGCTGTGAAGTGGTATGACCTGGATTGGAAGTTGGGCTGTTCTCACTCTACAGCTTATGCTGTTTCTCTAGCCTGATACAGGCTTAGTTAGTACAGCTTTTTGAGCATATCATCCCAACCCTTTGCAGCATCAAGAGGGCAGGCATTGGCTCTCTTGTTTCACTGGCCCATGGATAGGCCAAAGGCATTAGAGACTTCAGGCTGGTGCACTCAGGGTCAGACAGGCTAAATGTGGTCCTGGGATCCCATGCTGCATGCCCAGTAGCTCTGGAAATTCCCTTTATTAAGGCTTCCCAACTTGCAGAAACCACTAACTGCACTGAACCCACATCTCGCTGGCCTCCAGGTAGCTAGGCTGCTGTTGAGCAGACACAGATTCGGAAATCCGAAATACTTCGGGGAAGATGTGTTCAGCTTCCCACCTCCATTTCCTAAAATTTAGGGAAAAAGAGCAGAAGCTATTCAAATGTAAGATAACAGTGTTTTTAATATTTAAGTAACAAAATATGCAGGTCAATACTCAATGCATATACAATAAGACAGAGCAACAACAACAAAATTACAAAGCACAAGTTAACTATATGGAGGCTTTCAAACAATTAAGTGTTGGATAGAGAATGTGCTAATTAAAAACCCAGCTGAGCCACACCTCACTGCCTCAGACCTGACGGGGACTTTCTGGTGGTAGGAGGGAGAGCTCATGTGGGTGAGTCTCCAACTTAAATGGGTGACCTTCAGCTCAAATGCCAAGAACTCTTAACAACCTCCATGCCCTAGATTGCTCATCACCTGCTTTCCTTTAGTTTTTCCTTGAATTGATTTGTCTATTCACCCTTTACCCCATCTCAGGCAATGAGTTCCACGAGTGCCCTCTCCAATTTGGCCTTAAACCATTACTGTTTCAATGAGAAGCATCTCTGAGTTTACTGCTCTGGCTCTTGGTGAACACAGCCCTTTACTGTTTAATGGTACATGATCTGACTTTCTCTACACATAGTCGGTTCAGCCTGAAGACCCCTATGAATATTCCCGGATCCCTTTGAAGGCTGCTTTCATATACACTACTGATGTAAGGACTTTTCCCCCCAGATAATAACCTAATGGCCAAATACTCCCAGTGCCAGTGCTGCTCCCTGATTTGGTGGTTTTTAGAGACTGCCCTTACCTGGGTTTCTCAGGGGGCCTGTTCTGGCTTTGGTGCTGGAATGGGATTCTGGTATCTTAGAAGAAGGAGTTGAGGCTTTATGCTTAAATGGGCAGTGATGTAAGGATAGGGCAGGTGTGTGGCTGCAAAGAGCTTTCAGTTCTGCCTAAACATCCAATGTTCCAACCACTCCACGTGAATTTAGTGAAGCAAACAGCTCTCAGGGTAAGAAAACTGTCACAGTGCCAAGTAAGTGTGACTGTCAACTTGCTTGTAACCATGCAAGCATGGACATGGGGCACTTGGAGACATAACATTAAATTTAGGTTCATTTAAAAAAAAACTGGTTTTAACCCACTTCCTAGGACTTGCTGCATTCCATTATTTATTTTTTACATGACTGACACTTACTATCATGTGTAATAAGAGTCATGGAGACCTCAAAAGGGAAGAATTAGGATCAGTGAGCTTTCATGAAATTTGAACTTAAGTGTGACTTTACAAAGTACAATATAGACAATAACAAAGCAATTATTTTTTCATTTTCTTCTATCTATGTGCAGGGGCAAGGCTAATTTACAGAGATAATGTTATCATATTACTAATATGTTATTTATTCTAACTATGATTAGGACTTAGCTTACAAACATAAAAATCCTTTTCTCATTTCTCTAGGGATCATTTCTGACCTGTGACAAAAAGAGAACTCCAGGGGAGAGCTCAGAAAACCCTGGGATGGTCTTGCTGGAATTAGCAGATGCCAACAGGCTTGGCTGCCTCAAACTGAAAAGCACTTGGGCAACTTTTAAGATCACAGTGTAAGAAAACTCAGATAATGGGCTGGAGAGGATTACAGATATCTTTCCCTATCACTTCTTCTTCAATTAGTGCTTATTAGTAGCCAAGTTGGGGGTTGAGGAGGCAAAAATCAAACAGCAGAAAATAATGTCTTTTGGTGTATTCTCATTTTTTCCTTTCAAAACTTTTCTTGGGGACAGCTGGGAAATAGATCATCAATGGGTTTATCGACTGGAAGGAGGAGGGGGAGTCTGCCTAAATCATCAAAGTGTCAGATAAGAATTCAAACCACATTCTATCATCAGATTAGAAAGGTTATATTTAGAAAAAGAAATACAGGATTGAAAATGTGAACTATTGCCTCTAATTTACAAATGATAACTCAGCTGTTTTATGATGGAATATTTAGAGAGAGACATGTGGCCAAGACCATCCGGCCTCACCAAAGATGAAATTAAGCCTTTTCTAACTTCCAACTGTAAGTCAAAAGTAGTGAGGAATCATGGTAGAATCTCCTTGTTTTTGGGGTGAGCTCTCTTTGCAGGGTTTCTTCTGCTCATGTCGAAGGGTCTTGGAGCATTACACATAGTCATACTTGGAAGGATGAGATTGTACATCTTCCTCTGTGCGGGCACCCCCATCGTATATCTTCTTGTTTTTGGTGTTGGACCCAAAGCCAGTGCTGGCCTTGAAGCCTCCGGGCTTGTAGGCGACATTGTGGCCTGAGGCATGATAAGACACGGCTTTGTAGCTGAAAGAAAAAGAAACATTCTGTGACGGCAAATGTTTATGGTAGGAGGACCAACCTTTCATTTACCCTGGACTGTCTCAGTTTCAGCACCCAAAGTACAGTGTCTCTGGAAGCCTGTGGGTCCTGTGCAAACCAGCATAGTTGCTCACCCTAGTTTTTGGGGCACTGGTTTTCTGCCTTCACAGTGGAGTAGAATTTTCTACACTGTGTCAGAGCTTTGCCAAGCTGGTAGTTAATGACTAGTGGGTTCTCTCTGTTAATCAATAAAAATAAAGCTGAACCAGAAACAATGCCCAGGGGAACACCGTTAAACCAAACAATCATAGAATTTGTGAGCTCGTAGATACCTGTGTGTAGCCCCTCTCCTCTAATCTGCTCATTTTGCGGAGGCTCAGAGAGGACAAGTGACCTGCTGGCGTTCACAAGGCTAGTTAGTAGTAGAGCCACAGTGGAATCCAGCTCTCCCAACTCCAGCTCCCTTTATGGAGTTACTGTAGGGTTTCTCAACAGCAGTACTGTTGACATTTTAGAACAAAGGCTTCTTTGTTGTGGGACTGTCTTGTGCATTGTAGGATGTTTAGCAGCATCCCTGGCCTCTACCCACTAGATGCCAATATCACTTTCCTCCATCCTCGCAAAGATGTAGCAGTTAAAAGTGTCTTCAGATGTTGCCAAATATCCTCTAAGTTGGGGGAAAATTACTCCCAGCTTAGAACCACTAAGTTATAGAACACTAGAGCTATTAATAGAAGGAACCTAGAGGGATGGGTTTTTCCTTCAAATAGGATCACACCTAAATCTGACCAGGCTGAAATATTCCTGTTCTGTTCTATAGGTTCCCCATAAAAAAAGAAGGTTCAGTGATCTTTCAGTCAATAAGGTTCTTCCATATACCTAGACGAATTATTCTGGCTGCAAATTATACATTAAAATGGACTTTGAACAACTGAAACATCTGATTGCGTGGAATGGGGAGACTCACTTGGTTTCCTCGGGTGCCAGCCCCCGGCAGGCGATGCACATCATCACACCCCCAATTAGCGTGAGGCCTCCAGCGACCCAGCCCACGAACAGAGCTGCACCAAAGGTGTACCTGTGTGGGGAGATGGGGCTGTGAATGTGGCTGACTCAACTCTCCAGGCTCCACCCTCTGCCCTGGCCATGCCTGTTGTCTCTGTCTGCATTTTTTTTTTCTGTCCCCATTTTTGGATTCTACCTCTATCTTTGCCCATAGCCCCTGAACACACACTCCTTTGGGTCACAGTCAACTGATCAGGTACCCTGGAGAATAGGATTGGAACTAAAGCTAGTCAGCAAAATAGCATCACTTGGATCCTAGCATCACTCAGGCATAAAATTATAAACCTGATTTCTGAGAAGCATCTCAGGAAGTTCTCCTCCCCTCTCTACTGGCAAAGGGAAGTGCCTTGAAGGTTTGGTAAGAGAAATTTGAGAGATATGGAATCAGTCTCAAATTATTTTTTTGGAAGGAATTTTAGTTCCTTAAGTTCTCACTGTGGGCCAGAAGCATTCATCTTAACTTATCTCCAGTGACCCCATAATCACCGTGCAGGTAGGAATCTTGTCTTCAGAAAGAACTAAGTTGGAGTGACTAGTCACTCTTTCATTCATTTGTTCACTCATTTGTTCAAGAAGTATTAACTGAGCTCCTATTATGTGCCTGGCACTGGGACGTAGGTGTGAACAGCACAGAGACCCTGCTCTCCTTGTGCTTCTGTTCTGGCCCACACTGGAATTCTCACCTGAGGTGGTCTGAGTCTGAAGCTGGTGCCCTTGCCCTGTGCAGCTGCCTCAGGTGGGACTCAGTTACATCAGAACAGGATTGAGTACAAAACATCCCAAGAATAAAATAATTGTGATTCCAAATGGACATTTTGGGATGGTAGAGTGAGGTATCCCAAATCCTCACTGACCCCAAACCGTTAGGATGTCAGTGAGTATTTTGATGCTAGCTGGTAATGACCTCCATCTCAGAAGAGCAGAAAAGGAGAGCTCAGCACGGTGGTGCCTTCCCTTGGAGGTTTCCCTTTGTATTCCTCAAACAGCACGGGGACTGTTGGAAGAACACCATGAATCGCTGATATGTTTGAAATCTACTACACAAACTAAGCCCATTATACCAGCTGTAGGAAGAAAGCAGTATGTGTGCACACCTCTGCAACCTAAGACAAGACAATACTTCAGATATGCTTAAAAAGCACATGCATTTTAGCAGGATTAAAATAAATGGTATATACCTCATTACCAAGTGCAATAAATAGGGCAAAACTAGTTGACTGAACTCAGCCCTTGAAAAAGTTCTGGGAGAAAATTTACCTGCAGGCTATTTTTATTTCCTTTGGACTAGGAAAAATACAGATACTTGGTTTGAGGGCTGCTGTCTTGGAATGAACCCCACCCCCTCATCCTGCCTAGTGTGGCTGGGGGCTGAGCAGCAGGCCTTTTCCTGGGGCTTCTCCTGGGGGACCCCTGGGGGACTTTCCTGGGTAGCCCCAGTCCCTCTGTCCTGGTGCAGACTGAGCCCTTGTCCTTGACACCCCTATATAAGGTTGAGTGACTACATAATGTTAACGATGATAGCCGACATCGCTGCCAGTTATTGAGCCCTCACTGATGTAGTGATAAGCATTCTTTGTCACTACCTCATTTAGTTCTCCCACTGGCCACTGTGATGGGATTTATCACTCCCATTTCATAGATGGGGAGATTGAGGCTCAGAAAAGCTCAGAGTAGCTTCTCTAAAGACCCAGGAGGACATGGTATTGTCAGGATTCAAATTCAGGTCACTCTGCCTTCAGAGCCTTCCTTGTGAATTGTTAAGCTATACTGTCTTCTGTGCATGGGAAAATGGTCCCCTTCCTCAGCTTAGACACTCTGGGTCAAGGTCAGCAAACTTAAATTCTTACCTCATGGGCATGATGATAAATGGCCTCAGAGTTGGGCCATCCGAGAGTAGCGGGGACTGTGGGGGACTGGAGGGGGAACCCTGGCTGAGATGACAGCTGCAGAGAGGGCTGCCATGTGAGCACGAGGGCCCGCTGCTGCCAGATCTTATGATTTTTTATTTTTTGGTAAAGCTAAGAAAACAGGGAGTTTGTGTGTGTGTGTGTGTGTGTGTGTGTGTGTGTGTGTGTGTGGTGTGAAATCCCCTTGTGGTAGGCACCCATGGTGCTCTTCCCTAGCTTGTGTGTTCTTTTATCTTTCCCTGCTGGCCCCTTCCATGACTGTCCCTGGGATTCTGGTGTGGTTCAGCCACTAGAGCCGCTTTGCCCACCAAGACCGACTGGCACTGAGGTATGAAAGCCCAGCTCTTCGGTTTGGAAACTCTGCAGCATAATTCGCCCTGTGCAGCTCCCCTCAGGTCAGGCAGACTCGGGGCTTCACCTGGAATCACACCCTTGCCTGGCTCGCCCTCCTGTCCAGCCCTGCTCCCCTCCTTCCCTGACCAGCCTTCCCCTCCTGCATAGTCATTCACACAGGGGTCGTCTTCTTATGATCTCTTTCTGAAGAACCCGATTTGTAACGCTTCTGATTTTAAAAAGTTGGTGATCAGTTCAGATTATAACATAAAACGTTTAGGCTCATGCAAAACACCTGGCAGGCTGTGTACTCTGCAAGGGCAGGCGGTTTGTTGGTCCAGACCAGGCTTAGGCTCTGCCAGTGTTACATGTGACATGGCAATGACAGAGCGGGGCGGGGGCAGGAGAGGGGGAGGAGGGGTCCTAGGACCAAAGGGGGCACTAAAACCAAAGCTCCATCAGGGTGGCTGCTAGGATCTATTTGGCAGCTGGGCTATCTTGCATGACTTCTGAGTGGAGAAAACGAGAAGACAGAGACGGGGGAAAAACAGCTGCCCGTGGCTGCCCACCCATGCAGGGAGAAGTTCAGGAAGCCTTTCAGAATCCAACAGTCTTAATCCTAGGACTGAAGCTGTCTCCCCAAGGGATGGGGCAGGTGCTAAGGGGACAGTGTGGGAGAATGCTAGGTGCAAGGTGGGTGGTAGGTGGATCCTTGGGCAGCGACAGATACTCTGGGCAGGGTGGGCAAATATGGTGACCAACCATTCTGGCTTGCCTGTGCTGGAGGAGTTTCCCAGGATGTGAGATGACTAGTGCTACAACTAAGAAAGTCCCAGGAAAACTGGAAGGAGTTGGTCAGCCTATTTCCAAGTTGCACTAGTAACCCAGAGACCATGGGAGGAACATGGAGGAGGGTAGAGGGAGCTTATGGGGGTCATTTTTTCCCCATTCTTGAAACAGAGCAGAAACATGGGTGGGAATTGAGGAGCCAGAGAGTAATGGATCTTGCCACATCGTCATACCCTGTATGTACCCCATGTTGGTGTGGCTGGAAAATGCCAAGTGCTCTGCTTCAGA